CTATTGCTATTGCTATTGCTATTTATCTTAGTTTGCATCCACAGAAGGGAATTCCTGCCCAGAACCGGAGGTTGGATGCTGAAGCAAGTAAAAAATGCTTGTCCCCAACTTAACAGTTGGTGGAGAGAAGCATTTCCTTCTTGCTAGCCTCATACATTGTACTAATACATGGTTTGTTTAAATAAAGTTTAACAAACCACAACTGACTCACATAGGCTCACATAGTAAACACTTTTAACTGGATTCACACTAAAATTATTGTTTAAAAGTTTTGCTCACCCAAAAGAAACATATTTCACAGCTTATCACAAGTGAATCAAATGGAACCTCTATACTAGGAATGTGGCACCTGTTCTGTGTGTGGTGCAGCTGTCGTTCCTGAGCTGAAACACAAATATTCGAATGCTCCCTGTAGAATCAGCAGTGCTGTTCAGTACTGGTATAATGGAGAGAAGCAATAAAGAAAGAGAGAAAAGGCCTGGATCCCTGGAAGTGGCGGCTGAGAGAAAGCACAGGAAATCTAAGATCACCGAGCCAGTTGGATTTGACGTACTGGGAGAGGGAAGTGGGATGCTGTATACCAGTCTTTGCTCACACTATAAAATCACTCTGGGAATCTCTTCGACTTCAGGTTTGGTTTCTGCCGATCAAGCAGAAACAGCTCAATAAAACTTATGGCTTATTTTGGCTTTGGAATAAAATATATCTCTCCTTTCGTGCCTCGCCCTAAATGGGATCTTTTACTTTGTGTCTACGCTAAAACACAGCGTATTCTCTGGACTGGAACAGGGAATCTGTTGGATCTAAAGCACGTGCCCCCTCCTTAATCTGCCTGTAACTCCCTTCCAACGAAGACAGTCAGGACTAGATCCCTTTCGCAAGGCCAGCCCGTGAGGACAACTCACAGCTGTCCGGGTGTCCCAGAAACCTGAAAATCTGTGTCCACTGAATAGCTGTCGAGGTGTGCGTTAAGCCTGTCGGGCAAATCTACCGTCGTCCTTAAGAAGCTGCTAAAGAAGAACGCCTCAAGGAAGGCTTTAGCCTTTCCCTCTTCTCAATCCACCCCGCCGACTCCGAGCGAAGCCCCGCAGCCCGAAAACATCGCCCCTCTCCCCAACCACGTGGACAAGCCCTGGCATTCCGGTTTGGTTCTCCTCCCTTTCCTGGTTCTGCTCGGCGCCTGCGTGGTAGCGTCTGCAGAGCCTTTGACCGCTTCCGGGTGGGGTTGGCAGTCCAGCTCGCGACTCGGCGGGGTTGGGGGGGCAGCCTGAGGGGCTTCGGCCGCGGAAAACCCGGGCGACGCCATGGCCTGCACTCTCGTGCCTTTCTGCAGCTTCCAGGACCTGGAGTCGGCGCGGGATTTCCTGTGCTCTCATCTGCGGCAGAGCGGCGCGGGGGAACCGTGGGGCGCCAAGGAATGCGGTGGTGAGCCTCGAGCCCCGGGTCCGAGTGGGAGGAGATGGGTCGGGGTTGAGAGGATAGCAGTGGCGCGACGGTAATTTGCACTGTATCCTCTGTCCGCAGTGCCAGCAAGGGACTTGCCTTCATCCATCCTTCCACTTCTTTTAGCTCCAGGTTTGCATGTAAGAAGTATAAGTAGAGTTGGGGTCGTCATCCCTTCAACTTAATCTTTTTATTTTTGACTGCAGTAGGTAGCCCATGTATTTTTCCCCCTTTCCCTCCGCCCATATGCACCAGGTAACTGATAAGGAACCACTTGTGTACCGAGTTTCCTATTTTTGATTCAGGATCAGCCCTTGTGGATGGCGTCTGCAGCAATCTGTCACTATATTAACATTGGACAGCTTTATAAAAGAACCTAGTACTTTTAGGGCCGACTGATTATTCAGTACCCTGGTTACGATTTGGACACTTATTGTGGATCTTGCAGGTGCTGGCTGAGTCTGATCAGTGTTTTAATTAAAAACATCCAACACCAGGCTTTCTAGACCTGACATAATGATTTTTGAAATCAGAGACAGCATTTCCACAATAGAATAGAACACTCTGAATGGCAACATTTGTGTTAAAATACCTTAAGTAAAATGAACAAAAAATAAAGTNTGGCAGAGGAAGATTGGACCATGTGATGGACTTGTGGGTGTGGGGGCAAGGTCTTGAACTTTGAACTGGGTGGAAAACCCAGGGAGCTTTCAGATTCAGGTTTTCCACAGATGTACCAACATGTCTCTCTTATTAAATTGGAACTTAGATGAAACCTATGCCTTGAACTCTGACTTAATTCTGGATGATATTTGGAATGCTGACACAGGGTTTTTTTATTGTTGTTGTTATATTTTAATGATAATATGCCTAATAGGAATATCCAATATTTAATGTTACACATAATAACGGCGGCCAGAATAGTATATGCTCAAAACTGGAAATATACCCACAGAGGAAATGGTAATAAAGAAAATGTTAGACTGCGCAGAGATGGATAGGTTGCCAATGGAAATCAAAGACAAAGGAGAAACAGAATACTATTTAATTTGGGATGTATGGTATAATTGGTTTGATAGTAGATGCAAAGAATGGAAAACTAACAATGAAAGATGATTAATGAATTAGAAATTAGAAATAAGTATAAATATAATGAAAGATGAATTATATTTATTATATAAGTATATAACAATACGTTGTTAGAAAAATCTAAAAATCTAGAATGATAACTATATAATGTGCATATCTATCTATCTATCTATCTATCTATCTATCTATCTATCTATCTATCTATCTATTTCTAATTCATATATATATATAATGGTATACATAACAAAACAAAATCTGTGGATATAAACGAGTATAAAGTTGTTGCAAACATGAAATTGTGATATATATAAATGAAGAAAACTGTACAATAAAAATATTTTTAAAAAAGCAGAAAACTTTTCTGGACGTAAAACAGCCCCCATATTCACCAACAGTAAAAACAGGACCACCAGATAATATTTTTTAAAAATGGCCGCGTTTTGGTATCCACAGTATTTGGGGCTGCAGATGGGAGCCCTTACCGTATTTCCCCGGAGAAAGCCAGCCGGTGATGGCGATGGTGATATGGAGCTGCTTCGCTTCGGTTAAGGGAAGGAATTCGAATTCTTCGATGGCCCCCACGCGCTTTTTCATCTTGTACCCTAATGGAGCACAAATACACAGTCAATATGGCATGTTTTTTGGATGCTTCAAAATACAGGCCATGGTTCGCCACAACCTTTTTTCAAACCAGTACTTTGGACCACATCAGAGGTGGTATTCAGCAGGTTCTGACCAGTTCTGCAGAACCGTTAGCAGAAATTTTGATTAGTTCGGAGAACCGGTAAATATCACCTCTGGGTGGCCCTGCCCCCATCTATTCTCTGCCTCCCAAGTCCCAGCTGATTGGGAGGGAATAGGGATTTTGCACTAACCTTCCCCTGCCACGCCCAAGCCATGCCATGCCACATCCAAGCCACACCAACAGAACCAGTAGTAAAAAAAAATTGAATCCCACCACTGGACACACACACTGGTCCTCATTTTACCCAGCTCGGAAGGATGGAAGGCTGAGTCAACCTGGAGCTGGTCAGACAAGATTGAACTGCTGGCAGTGGTTTGCAATACTGCATTCTAACCAGAAGGAAGGAAGGAAGGAAGGAAGGAAGGAAGGGAGGGAGGGAGGGAGGAAAGGAGGAAGGGCACAGCCTTATATACTGCTTCACAGTGCTTTTTACAGCCCTCTCTAAGCAGTTTACAGAGTCAGCCTCTTGTCCCCAGCAATCTGGGTCCTCATTTTACCCAGCTCGGAAGGATGGAAGGCTGAGTCAGCCTGCAACTGGACAGGATCAAACTGCTGACTGTGGGCAGAGTTACCCTGCAATATTGCATTCTAACAGGAAGGAAGGAAGGAAGGAAGGAAGGAAGGAAGGAAGGAAGGAAGGAAGGAAGGAAGGAAGGAAGGAAGGAAGGAAGGAAGGAAGGAAGGAAGGAAGGAAGGAAGGAAGGAAGGAAGGAAGGAAGGAAGGAATAGCCTTTAAGACATATACCACTTCACAGGCCCCTCTAATCGGTTTACAGAGTCAGCCTCTTGCCCCCAACAATCTGGGTCCTCATTTTACCTACCTCAGAAGGACGGAAGGCTGAGTCAACCTTGAGCCTGATGAGATTCGATCTGCCAAATTGCAGGCAGCCGGCAGTCAGCAGAAGTAGCCTGCATTACTGTACTCTAACCACTGTGCCACCACGGCTCCTATGCCGAAAATCAAAGGGGCCAGAGAGACTTCTGCACCATAACACCGGGCTTATTTTCCTCCTCATCCCGAGATCCTTACCCACAAGTCCTGCTCCAGCGGCTCCGAAGAGAGAACCGATAATGGCCACCCCGGCTACTGACCCCAAGGCTGTGGCCCCAGCGGTCCCGATGATGGCTGCTGCTCCGGTAGCCACCAGGGGGGCTGCCAATCCCCCAGTCAGGCCTAAACAGAAAACAGCAGGATTTTCAGATCCCCCAAAAGGCAAAACAAACCAGGTTAGAATTAGGCAGCATTCGGAACTCTTTGTCAATGGAGATTCTCCATCATCCAGGTCACGGTTGTCCCAAAGGTGCTTTTTTTTAATTTCAAGAGGCAACTGGACTTTCTTGGTTTTTCTTTGAAGGCGTTTTGCTTCTCATTCAAGAAGCTTCTTCAGCTCTAACTGGATCATGGTGGAGAAAGGAAGGATTTATATGCCTTGCAGACAGCTGGACATTTGCATTCTTTTAGTGCAGACGTGTCAAACACAAGGCCCACAGGCCAGATCCGGCCCACAATGTGTTGTAATCCAGACCACAGGGCTGCCTTGGAAAATGTAAGGGGCTGGTCCACATCGCTTCAGCCCAGTCCTCTCAATGTGAAGAGGAAACATGCCAGTAGTTTGGGGAGTGGCGTCAAGCTGGCCACGCCCACCCAGTCAGCCACATCCAGTGATCGGCGTCAAGCCGGCCACCCCCATCCAGTCAGCCACACCCAGTGACTGCCGTCAAGCTGGCCACACACCCCCAGTCAGCCATGCCTAGTGACTGGCGTCAAGCTGACCATGCCCACCCAGTTGGTCATGCTGAGTCAACCACAGAGGTCCTGATGCGGCCCTCGATGAAAGTGAGTTTGACACCCGTTGTACTGGGTCGTTAGAAGCCTGTCCACCCTTAGAAGGAGGAGCCAACATCACGATGTCACAACGTGCAGTCTCGATACTCTGAGACCGCTGTTGACACTTTTGCCGCTGGATGGTGCATTGAGACCTAAACCTGTTGCTCTCTAGTTACAGGTGGTCCTTGACTTACAACGATCAACAATAAATCAATAGGGAGTCAGTCACTTAACAAGCGTGCGACTAACTTAACAACCGCAGGGATTTACTTAATTACTGTGGCAAGAAAGGTTGTAAAATGGAACCAGTCTCCCCATTTAATAACTGTCTCACTTAGCAACATAAATTTTGGGCTCAATTGTGGTTGTTAAGTCCAGGACTGCCACAATCTCCATTCGGGGGAAGGAGAGTCAGAAGAATTTTACTTACCGATGACTGTCCCTCCGCCTACAGTCGCTAAGCCGATCAGCAGGTACCGCTTCAGCCTCTTCCTTCTCTCCTTCTTCTTCCGATTGCCTTCATCAGTTCTTGGGGTGAGAGGAAGAAGAAGAAAAAAAAATGTCTTTTTTTCCTATCAGCAAACAGACCACCACTGCACTGATGACGTTACCTAGTATGGCAATGAAACGTCTGCAAGAAAACAAGCAAGCTCAGAGAGCACCAAGGACCCCACAGTTGACCTCCCTCCTCTTCTCTGCATACTCCACTCCCTTCTACCCAGTTTCCTCGAAAATAAGACAGGGTCTTATTTTCTTTTGATCCCTGAAATAAGCGCTTGTTCTTATTTTTGGGGAGGTCTCATTATTTTTTAGGTGCTGGAGGGGGCGAGTGTGGTCACCTCATGGCTGCTGCTGTGTTGCAATATTTTCAGGAAGGGCTTATTTTGTGGGGAGGGCTTATTTTCGGGGGAACAGGGTAGCACTGAAGTTAACTAGTTTGGTAATGAAATAAGCTCAGGGAGCACCAAGGACCCAATCATCCTCCTCCTCTTCTCTCCATACTCCACTCCCTTCTAGCACTGGTGAAATTACCTAGTTTGGTAACGAAACATCTGCAAGAAAACTACCAAGCTCAGAGAGCACCGAGGACCCCACAAAATTAACTGCCTCCCTTCTACCCCACATGGCACCGAAGGTTTCACTTTTGTTCACAAGAGTAAAAAACGGACACGTCAGAAATGAAATCCGAGGCACAAAGCAACTTACCTGTCAGGTAGCTCCTATTTCCTAAGCAGCTTATAGGACAAAAAGAGCAAATATGAAAAAATACAGAAAGCAGGCCGTTCAGGAGAGCTGTGTTTCATCACAATGTGTTAGAGTGGATTGTTTTAGTTTACACTTAGCATTTTTTAAAAGAAGTCCTACAATTTCAATGAGACAAAAGCTGTCTATAAAAGCCAGGGACAATTCCCCACTTTATTTTTTTTTAAATTCTGCCAGCAAAATTAACCTTTCTCCCTTTCTTCTAGGGACTAGGGGTGACATGATAGCAGTCTTCCAATATCTCCCTCAAGAAGAGGGAGTCAAGCTATTCTCCGGGGCACCTGAAGGCAGGAGAAGAAGCAGTGAGTGGAAACTAATAAAGGAGAGAACTAAGGAGGAATTTCTTGACAGTTAGAACAAGTAATCAACTTGAACAACTTGCCTCCAGAAGTTGTGAATGCTCCAACACTGGACGTTTTAAAGAAGAGATTGGATAACCATTTGTCTGAATTGGTATAGGGTTTCCTGCTTAGGCAGGGGGTTGTACTAGAAGACCTCCAAGGTCCCTTCCAACTCTGCTATTCTGTTCTATTCTTTGGGGGACGGGGCTGTGGGGTAGGGGGCACCCAAGCTGTTTTTCTTTGCGGTTGATTGTTGCTTGGATCCACTAAAACCCAGCCGTGTTTTAGAAGCCAAAAGTCCCTAGGTAAAAGTAAAGGTTCTATTCTATTCTATTCCTCATTTCTATTTTATTCTATTCTATATTATCATATTTTTCGGAGTATAAGACACACCTTTTCCCCGCCAAAAAAGAGGATGAAAATGTGGGTGCATCTTATACACTGAATACAGCATTTTTTGGGCTCCCAAAACCCGCCCCCTTTGCAAAAGTGGATGTGCAGAGGGTTTGGGAGACTTACAAAGTGTTCCTGGGGGCTGGGGAGGGCAAAAACAAGCGAAAAACAGGCTGTTTTTATCCCGTTTTTGCCCCACCCCCCAGGAGCACTCTTCAGATCAAGCATTTATTTTAAAAAGCTTTTTTGTTTTGGTTGTCTTTAAAAATCAGTCCTTAAAAAATAAGTCTAATAATTTGAACATTCTATAGGCATTTATAGTTGTTGACTTACCTCTTTGCAGCAAACAGCAGGCTTACCACAAGAAAAAAAAATCCCAGCAATTTGCCATGTGGAGCAAACAGGTAGTTTCACTTTCAATTTCTCCCGATCATCAGCTGTTAGAGGCTGCTGGGATTGCTATAGCTTATTGAAGCCCCCGCAAGTCCCCATTTGCTGCAAAGAGGTAAATTGCTGGGAGTAGAGGCCAAAGAGTGGGGGCTTGTGGGTGGGTGGGGCTACATTCGGAGTATAAGCCACACCCAAATTTTCATCTTCTTTTGGGGGGGGGGCGCGGAAAAGGTGCGTCTTATATTCTGAAAAATACAGTAGCTCTTGGTTGGGAAAAAAACTATGTTGTCTCTCAGTTTTCTTGGGGAAAACAAACTCTGAAACTCGGGAGAAAGGAAAGAAAAGGGATACAAAGGAGAAGGCCACCTTTTGCCCTTGAGATCCGAGTTCTCCTGGGATCACTTTTTGAAAAGCAACAGCTCTTTTATCTGCTCTGATTAAAATAAAGACCTATTGGCAGAAAACAAATATTTTAAACACACACACATATATATATTTTTCCACCCTAGCTGGACAGTATAGATTATTTTGTGGCGGCCCCAAAAGCCAAGGTGAAACATACTCCGATTCCACCTCTTTTTCTTCCTTCAGACATTCAAGCAGATAGTCCTCAGCGTCTTCCAATTCTGCCAACGGGATCCCCAGCAACCCGGCCATGTGGGACAGAAGCACTCGCATGCGAGCATCGTAGTAGCCTAGACAAACAGGGCAGGAGGAGGGAGCGTTTAAGAAGCTTGTCCTAAGCAAAAAATAAATAAATTGTGTAAAATACATAAGTGGCTAGAAAGGAAAACATGTAGATTTTAAACCCGAACTTTTTCTTATTAGGTATAGAACCAGAAAAATTTGATAAACAAAACATATATTTAATACTAGCTGATAACTTAGGGCAACCCGAGTATTTATTTATCCCAACCCTCCTTCCATTAACTTTGCCGCAATTTCTAATGCTGGATTTTCCCCCTTACTAGAGGGAGCCCCCTTGTGGAGTACTGTGAAACGGTTACCATTGCACCTCCACTGCACTGTACAGTAGAAGCCACTTAAAGGCAGTACGGTAGAAGCCATTTTAAGGCACAACAGGCTGTATCTTAACAGAACACACACCCTGAGGGTGTTAGGGGTGTCTCTCCCCTCCCCCCGCAATAATTTGATTCCAGATAGTAAGTTATCTTTGTACCAAGTTTGGTTGAAATTGCTCGAGGCGTTCCAGAGCTATGCTGGAACACACACACACACACACAAACACGTATTGTGTCACAACCGCTGGTATGCCCAAATATGGGAAGGAGCATACTGCTATACATACCTATTTCCCTAACTTAGCTGATAAAGGAGGAGAACCTGTGGCTTAGTGGCTAACACAACTGCCTGATATGTAATACAGCCCAGGTTCGATTCCCAGTAAGGATATGGCTAGCTGATGAGAGCTAAATAGCTTGAAATAGATCCTTTATTTATTTTTAAGCACAATTGCAACACATATCTATCTATCTATCTATCTATCTATCTATCTATCTATCTATCTATCTATCTATCTATCTATCTATCTATCTAATGTCTTAACAGCAGTGAAGAATATATTCGTATGATATTGGAAAAACGAAGAAATACTACGAGACAAAGAGATCATTAGGATGATACTGGATTGTGCAGAAATGGACAAACTCACATTGAAGATTAAACAGAAAGAAGATACAAAATATTATCAAACATGGAACTTATTCTACCAGTGGTTGGGAAAAAAAGGGTGGAGAATAAGAACGTAATCTGCACTGCTAAGCAAATAAAATAACCCAGGCAACACAATGTTTCTTAAGCACTAACAAAACGTAAACAATAAAAAATCAATAAAACTTTTTTTTTTTTTAAAGAATAAGCTAGTCCTCACCGACTTGTAGCAGAGAAAGGAGAAAAGTTCCTAAAATCTCTCGCAGATTGTCTGGTTCCTCTTAAATTTATCCTACACTATTTGATAACCCAGCATTGCCCGGGAATTTATTTATAGGGGGAAAATATCCGGACCAAACATAATTTCTAATGTTGGATTTTCCCCCTTACCAGAGGGAGCCCCCTGGTGGAGTACTGCGAAACTGTTACCATGGCAACCCCACTGTGCTGTACAGTAGAAGCCATTTTAAGGCAGTACAGTAGAAGTCATTTTAAGGCACAACAGGCTGTACAGAACACACACAACGAAGGGTTTTAGGGGTGTCTTACCCCCACAGTACTTTTCTCTAGAGAGTAAGTAATCTGTGTACCAAGTTTACTTGAAATTGCTCAAGGCGTTCCAGAGTTATACTGGAACACACACACAGATACACTAATATATAAGCTCTTTTGCTTTGTCTCTCTGGTTAAATTCTAATAAAAACAACTGGACGAAGAAAGGAAAAACGGGTCCTCAAAATCACTTACCATCCTTGAGAGAAAAGGAGACCAGGTTCTAAAACAGAAAAAGAAATATGTGAGAGAAATGGTGAGGATTTAAAAAAAGAAACAAGGGCATTTCCCCGGAAAGTCTGAATTTGGGTCAATTGGCGAGAAGGCAGCCTTTTTTCCCCCTCTTGAAAAAATAGAATAGAATAACAGAGTTTGGAGGGACCTGGGAGGTCTTCTAGTCGAACCCCCTGCTTAGGCAGGAAACCCTACTCCACTTCAGACAAATGGTTGTCCAACATCTTAAAAATTTCCAGAGTTGGAGCATTCACAACTTCTGGAGGCCACTGATTAATTGTTCTAACTGTCTTCTTTGTGGCAGCCCCTGAAATATCAGAACCCTTCTATCATGTCCCCCTTAGTTCTTCTTTTCATTAAACTAGACATAACTAGACAAAAAGAGGGGGAGATTTGTTCGTGGTATCTCCATTCTCAGAGGTCCTGTATTTCTGGGGAGCAAAACGAAGAGAAGGGGCTACTATATTGGTCTCCCTTTATTTCTTGGTCGGTAAATATAAATTTAACACAAAATAGTTTGTCGTGAAAGCGACTGCCTGCGATGGCTCCTGGTTTGGGGCTGAAAGGCGACGGCTCACCAGCATAATGGCACCAGGCTCATCCTTCAGAAGCGGCTCGCTCAGAAGAATCCGAGTGAAGGTCTCTGTTCCTTCAGCCCCCAGACCTCCAGCAAAGGCCAACATGGATGGCATCACAGTGTCCGACAACTCCAGCCACCTGACCAGGTTCTCCACCACTCCCGTCCTGTAGGCACTGTGGAACGAAGTCCAAGAGAAACAAGTCACGACTTGGGGTTTAGTTTTAAACTTTAGTTTAGTTTATTGTCACTGCACTCTCTACAACGAAATTAAATGCCATCTTCAGTAT